AGAGAGAGAGAGAGAGAGAGAGAGAGAGAGAGAGAGAGAGAGAGGACTTTTATGGAGTACTATGCAAAATTCACAAGGATTTGAAAGATAAATACTTGTTTATAGACCCTTTGAGGTGCTCAAGTGCATGTTCCTCTGAGAAGTGCTTCTTTTAGTAAATAAAGGTCCACGTGACAGGGTAACATAGGGGAATTTGGATTTAGGGCTATTTAAACATTTAGTCATCTGAAATAACGTCTCTAAGGAGTTATTGTGCTACACGTACAAGGCCTGACTCAAGTTGAACAATAGCAATTTATTCTTCTGGTTATTCCTCTACAAGTAGCAGAGGGTGTATTTTATTTTTAAATGATTAGGGCAGGAAGGAAAAGGCCTAAGTGGATGAGGAAGATGATCATATTGTAGAAATAAGCTCTTGTGGCTGGAAGAAAGGAGACGCCATCTGTGGAATAACATACCTGCCCTGCCCGCACTGAGTCAAAGGTGAATGACTTCAATATAAAACCCAGAATGACCAGAGGTGATGGTGCCTCTGGGGTCCTGCAACGAGCTAGACACTTTGTGTGCATCATCACAACCCTCTCAACAACTCTATTCCATCCCATTTTGTGATGAGGAAACTAAGCCTGTCTCTGAGGGTTACACTGTTTCTTACCATGAATACACTGGAAGCTCCTGTCTATTCACTCCAGGGCTCAGGCATCAAGTCTGAGCAAGTCCAGTATTGTCACACGGGAAAGGAAATGTTCTCTTACCTTCAGAGCCCAGTCACAATCCACCAGGGCCTTCTGGTAGTCCCCAAGTTTTATATAAGCCTGAAATGTGAGCTAGACACTTTGTGTGCATTATCACAACCCTCTCAACAACTCTATTCCATCCCATTTTATGATGAGGAAACTAAGCCTGTCTCTGAGGGTTACACTGTTTCTTACCATGAATACACTGGAAGCTCCTGTCTATTCACTCCAGGGCTCAGGCATCAAGTCTGAGCAAGTCCAGTATTGTCACACGGGAAAGGAAATGTTCTCTTACCTTCAGAGCCCAGTCACAATCCACCAGGGCCTTCTGGTAGTCCCCAAGTTTTATATAAGCCTGAAATGACACACATATTTGACATTCAGACACAGTTGTGCATCAAGGAGTCTTTAGTCAATGCAGAAAGAACAGTTGGTATCAGCAAGAAAACAACATCAAATGCTGGCGAGGATGTGGGGAAAGTTAGGGACCCTGGCTCACTGCTGGTGGGAGTGTAAACTGTTGCAGCCATTATGGAAATCAGTTTGGACATTTCTCAGAAAATGACCATATAACCCAGCTATACCACTTCTGGCACATACCCAAAGGACTCTATATCCTACCACAGAGATGTGTGCACATTCATGTTTATTGTTCTTTATATACAGTAG